GTATTCACTCACCCATCCAAATTATTATATTGAGGTGTTTCAATCGCCTCGGCATGCAGACTGCTTCTACAAACACACTCAGGAGCTCAGTGTATTCTACTGTGGTATCGCAATGAGATGTCACCTGTCTAACAAGTCCAGTTATATCCACAGGGAACTGTTAGTGGTATTATAACAAAGTAAAAGCAATTGGGAACGACAGAAACTTGGACACTTAGATCGCTGAGGTGCATAGTGCAACTCTCTGCAGATTCAATCGCTACAGACCTCCAAACTTCATGTGGCCTTCAGATTAGCTCAACAACAGTGTGTAGAGAGCTTCATGGACCGAGCATCACCCCAGAGCAATGCAAAGCGTCAGACGCAGTGGTGTAAAGCACACCGCCACCGGACTCTGGAGCAGTGGAGACATTTTCTCTGGAGAGACAAATCATGCTTCTCTATCTAGCAAGTCTGGGTTTGGTGGTTGCCAGGAGAACGTTACTTGTCTGATGCTTTGTGCTAACTGTAAAGTTTGGTGGAGGGGTGATTATGGTGTGGGGTTGTTTTTCAGCAGCTAGGCTTGGCCCCCATAGTTCCAATGAAAGGAGCTCTTAATGCTTGTGGTGGCAGATTTCTTTTGTATTAATCATATGTTTTAATCATATCACATTAGTAATGGTAATATCGCTTTCTCACTTTAGTATAGCAAGATCAGTCCTGTCACCAGTTGTATGCATGCGTGTAGAATGCTATCACAAGTTTTATTACGCCTTCACAGTGGATCCAATGTAGACGGACATCCTGCTCAAGGGAGTTGATGGCCAAACAGAAAACAAGGTCATAATTCTCTCTGTGAGGGAGAAGTTTTAAGGATGGGGCTGAAGGTAAAGCTCCGCCGCCCCCACCCGTGAGATGGGCCAATATGTAAGAGTTGTGGAATGTGACATATCCATATTGCAATATGTTATTAAACCACTTCAAAATGCTCACTGGGGGTGTTTGGAGGTTATTTAAAATTTCCACAACATGCTTCGGCATAACAAGGTATTCTGGACAATTCCATGCTCCCAGCTTTGTGGGAATAGTTTGGAGATGACCTCTCCCTGTTCCAACATGACTGCACACCAGTGCACAAAGCAAGGTCCATAAAGACGTGGATGAAGTGTTTGGTGTGGAACAGCTTGCGCAGAGTCCTGACCTCAACCTGAGGTCAACTGCCTACTTGTTTAATATCAGTGTCTGACCTCACAAATATGCTTCTGGAAGAATCGTCAAAAATTCCCATAAACCCATCAACACACTCCTGAACCTTGTGGAAAGCATTCCCAACAGAGTTGAAGCTTTTCCTGGCCCAAAGATGGTTTCTGCTTGCTTGAGTGAAATGTGCTCACCTGGGTTGCACATAAGCTAGCCAGGTTTTCCAGTCTTTCTACTTGTACTTCCCGAGTGTTTGG